CTGTAAGGCCTGTGCCCAGGTGAACTGGGGCAAAAATAAAGCCCAGGGAGGAGTGAGGCAAAGAGGTCACAGGCCTGGGGTCCATTGGGAAGTCGATTTTACTGAAGTTAAGCCAGGAATATATGGATACAAGTATCTGCTAGTTTTCATTGACACCTTCTCTGGATGGCCAGAGGCGTACCCGACGAAGACAGAAACTGCTAAAATGGTGTCTAAGAAGCTATTGGAAGACATCTTTCCTCGATTCGGGATGCCTCAGGTAATAGGGTCAGATAATGGACTGGCCTTCGTCTCCCAGGTAAGTCAGACAGTGGCCAGGTTACTGGGGATCGAATGGAAATTACATTGTGCTTACAGACCCCAGAGCTCAGGTCAGGTAGAACGAATGAATAGAACTATTAAGGAGGCTTTAACTAAATTTTCGCTGGCAACTGGCACTAAGGACTGGGTGACTCTCCTGCCCTTAGCTCTATATCGAGCCAGGAATACCCCTGGACCTAGTGGGTTAACTCCGTTTGAAATCCTGTACGGGGCTCCCCCTCCGGCTGTCTCTTTCTTAGATCCAGATATCTCTAACTTCACTAACACCCCCTCCCTGCAGGTGCACTTGCGAGCACTACAGTTAGCTCACCAGGAGATCTGGAAACCTTTAGCAGCTGCCTATCAAGATGCTGTTAACACCCCTACAGCACCCGGTATTCCCAGGCAGTCTCCCATCCAAGTACTAACCAGGCCCGACCCTGCTTAGCTTCCGAGATCAGACAAAATCGGGCGTGTTCAGGGTCGCACCCCATCCCTTTCAGCCCGGTGACACCGTCTGGGTCCAGAGACACCAGACTCGGAGCCTAGAGCCCCGCTGGAAAGGACCCTACACCGTCCTCCTCACGACCCCCACAGCCCTCAAAGTGGACGGGATTGCAGCCTGGATCCACGCTTCACACGTTAAGGCAGCCGACCCTGCGCACCGAGAACCCTCGAGGGAAGGGCAAGAACAATGGTGGCTGACCCGGACACCCAACCCCCTAAAGATAAGACTGGTCATGAACCACTCGGAGCCAAACAAATCTAAGAATTGCTGGCTCTGTTTGAACCCGAGCCCCCTTATTACGAGGGCATAGCTGTCAAGGGAAACTTCTCAATACTCCCCACGAACTCTACTGCCCCCCTCACTTGCACCTCTTCCACCCACACACTCACCCTGACTCAGGTTACCTCAACAGGCACCTGCATCGGAAAAGCGCCCACTGGATTTAAACATTGCCTTAAGAATAACTCCTCCCTTTCCCTCCAGGCCGACGCATACCTTGTGCCCCCTAATGGCACCTATTGGGCATGCAGCATGGGGCTGACTCCCTGCGTCTCTCTTGCCATTCTAAATCTAACCCGAGATTTTTGTGTCCTGGTACAGTTGTGGCCCAGAATTTATTGGCATGAGGATAGCTATGTATTGCAGCATTATCTGGAAACTTTGTCAGAGACTACACTCCCGAGGACAGAAAGTTGCTCGAGAAAATAGGAGCATCTAACAACCCAGAGACAGGATATTGGGAATACCAAGGGAAGACAGTTCTACCTCAGCGGTCAGTAGAAGAACTACTGGACGAGCTTCACAAATGGACTCACCTGGGGGTAACGAAAATGAAAACATTAATTGAACGAGAAGAAACCATTCATTATCTCCCAAACAAAGATGCCATCTTACAAAAGATCGTCAAGAACTGTAAGGCTTGTGCCCAGGTAAACTGGGGCAAGAGCAGAGCCCAGGAAGGAGTAAGACAGAGGGGCCACAGGCCCGGAGTCCATTGGGAGATTGATTTCACTGAAGTCAAACCAGGAATGTATGGATACAAGTACTTGTTGGTTTTTATTGACACCTTCTCAGGATGGCCAGAGGCATACCCGACAAAAAACGAAACCGCAAAGATGGTGTCTAAAAAATTCCCACACTACGTTCCAGATGTTCCTAAAATACACTTTGTGGTAAAGGTCATGGACACCTCTGTTCTATTATGTGCCCTTCAGTAGTACTATAAACTACTGAAGTTCGAAATTGACCCCGATATGTTATGATGAGTGAAAGATTCCCCTCATATGTCAAAGAAAAAGGGAGGAATGAAAAACCTAGGTGCCATGAGGCTACCTGATAGGGTACCCTGCTTCTGCTCTATAAAAGTGCCAAAACCCAGCATGGGGGCGCGCAAGTCCTCCGAGGAGACTTTGTGCCCACAGGTACCTGTGTACTAAATAAACCTCTTGCTGTTGCAACCCGAAGGCTGACTTGTCCTCAGTGGTTTCACTCTTACAATATCTCCTTGTCCCTTCTGCTTTGGCACTGTCCCATAGCCACCCTGCCCCCAATAGAATTCAAGCATTCTGTCATTTATATTAAGGCCTATTATGTAATGTTAAGTGTCCTGAGATGTCCCTCAGTGCAAGTTCATCCACCAGAGTTTAATCAGCCTCTCTAGAGTCTCTCCCTTCAAAAAGATCAGCTCTTCCTCACCTAGCAGTTATCAGCTGCCAATAATTCTTTGACTAAGATTGGTGCCTGCTGTCCATTTCCACAGTTCTGTGCTGAGTTTTTGTCTGCCTAAGTTTCCATGGGTCTTGTGCCTGCTGACACCATTGCTGTAGGTTTGTATGAGAAGGGTCCCAGGTGCCTATAGGACTATTTCCATATGGTTATGTGCCTCCTCCCTGTCCCTTACACTCTTTCTGCCTCCTCTTCCACAATGGTCCCTGAGTCCTGGGCAGGTGGACCTCAATATAGGAGAACTGTCCAAGGACCCACACTCTGCTGACTCTTATTCTCTACATTTTGGCCATTGTGGCCTTTTGTGTTCTTGGCCCTCTGTTGCATGAGGGAGCTTCAATTGATGAGAACTGAAGGATGCATTAGTGTTCTCTTCATCCCTTGTTCTATGTTCTGTGAGCCTTAGGTGTAGAGGTTGCTTCCTACATGTGCCACTTAGGCTTGGGCAATTCACAGTGAATCTTTCTGTGTGACCAGTGGTGTAACTCTATAGTAATCTCTGTCTGTTGAAAAAGAAGTTACTTTGATGCGTGGTGACTGGGATATTTGTTTATAAGAATTTGGTGCTAGGATCCACAAATGAGTGAAAATATACATCTTTTATTTTTCTGAGTCTGTGTCACTTCACTTAGTATAACAGTTTCTATATCCATCCATTTACTTGCAAATTTCACTATTTCATCTTCCTTTACTGCTGAGTAGAACCCCATTGTGTAAATGTACCACATTTTTGGTAACCACTCATTATTGACGGGCACTTAGGTTGCTTCCATCTCTCAGCTCTTGTGAAAAGAGCAGCAACAAACATGGTTGTTCAAGTATCTGTGCAATAGGATGAGTCCTTTGGGTATATGCCAAGGAGTGGTATAACTGGGTCATATGGTAGGTTCATTTTTATTTTTTTAAGACTTCTCCACACTGCTTGGGGTTGCAGGAGTTTGCAATCCCACCAGGAGTGAATGAGCATTCCCCTTTCTCCATATCCTATCCAACATTTGGTATCATTTGTTCTCTTAATCTTAGCCAGTCTGACTGGTTTTAATTTGCATTTCCTGAATGACTATGTTAAATACCTTTTACAATGTTTCTTAGCCATCTTTATTTCTTCCTTTAAGAACTCTCTGTTTAGATCTTTAGCCCATCTTTAAATTGGGATACTTGCTTTCTTGATTCTTTGTTTTTTGAGTTCTTTATATATTCTGGATGTTAAACCTCTGTCAGATGTGTCACTGGTGAGGATTTTTTCCCACTCTGTGGGTTTTCTCTTCACTTCCTTGATTTATTCTTTTGCTGTGAAGAAGCTTTTTAGTTTAATGAGATCCCATTTGTTGATTGTTGTCCTTAATTCCTGAGCAATTGGTGTCTGATTTAGAAAGTCCTTTCCTGCACCTATATCTTGTAGGTTACTGCCAATGTTTTCTTCTAATGGTTTCAGAGTTTCTGGTTTCACATTGAGGTCTTTGATCCATCTGTAGTTGGCTTTTGTGCAAGGTGAATGGTAAGGATCTAGTTTCATTCTTCTACAGGTGGAGATGCAGTTTTGTCAGCACCATTTGTTGAAGATGCTGTCTTTCCTCCATTGTGTGTTCTTGGCACCTTTGTCAAATGTCAGGTGGATGAAATTGTGTGTAGTCAGGTTTGGGTCTTTAATGATGTTCCATTGACCTCTGTGTGTCTATTTTTGCACCAGTACCAGGCTGTTTTTATGACTACAGCTCTGCAATATACATTGAGATCTGGTATAGTAATCCCCTCAGCATTGCTGTTTGTGGTCAGGGTTGCTTTGGCTATCCAGGGTCTTTTGTGCTTCTGTATGAACTTAAGGATTTTTTTCTAATTCTGTGAAGTTTGTCATGGGACTTTTTATTGGGACTGCATTGAATCTATATATCGCTTTTGGTAGGTCATATTCACAAAATTAATTATTCCAATCCATGGGCATGGGAGGTCTTTCTATCTCTGGTGTCTTCCTCAATATATTTCTTTCTTTCTTTCTTTCTTTCTTTCTTTCTTTCTTTCTTTCTTTCTTTCTTTCTTTCTTTCTTTCTTTCTTTCTTTCTTTCTTTCTTTCTTTTTAGGCTATTGTGAATGGAAGCATTTCCCTGTACTCTTTCTCCAACTGATATAGAAAGGCTACTGATTTTTATACATTGTTTCTGTAACCTGACACTTTACTGAAATTGTTGATCAGTTCTAGGAGTTTTCTGGTGGAATTTGTGGAATCTCTTAGGTATAGTACCATGTAATCTGCAAAAAGGGATAATTTGACCTCTTCTCTTCCAATTAATACTCCTTTAATTTCCTTCTGTGGTCTTATTGCTCTAGCAAGAATTTCAAGCACTGTATTAAAAAGGATTGGAGATAGGGGACAGCCTTGTCTGGTTCCTGATTTAAATGGGAATGTTTCCAGTGTTTGTTCATTTAGAATGATATTGGCTGTGGATTTGTTGTATATAGCTTTAATTATGATCATGGTGAATGATTTTTTTGATGTATGTCTGTATTCAGTTTGTAAGTATTTTGTTGAGCATTTTTGCATCTATGTTCACTAAGGTTATGGGTCTATAATTTTCTTTTTTTGTTGTGTATTCACCTGGTATTGGTATTAGGGTAATCCTGGCTTCAAAGAAGGAATTTGGGAGTTCTCCCTCTGTTTATATCATTTTGAATAATTTCAGTAGTATTGGTTCAAGTTCTTCTTTAAATGTCTGGTAGAATTGTGCTGTAATGTATCTGGGGCTGGGCTTTTTTTAGTGAGGAGGTTTTGTACTACTGTTTCAATTTCCTTATATGTTATGGGTCTGTTTAAATTGTCGATCTCTTCTTGGTTTAACTTTGGTGATTCCCATGATTTTAGCTATCCATCCATTTCTTTTAGGTTTTCAAATTTAATTGAGTATAGGTTTTTGAGGGGTTTGGGTTATTTCTTTGTTTGTTTTTTTGTTTTTTGGGTTTTTTTTTTTTTTGTCTTTTTGAGACAGGGTCTCCCTGTAGCCCCAGCTGTCCTGGAACTCACTGTGTAGACCAGGCTGGCCTTGAACTCACAGAGATCCACCTGCCTCTGCCTCCCAAGTGCTGGGATTAAAGGTGTGAGTATAGGTTTTTAAAGTATTCCCTTATAATCTTCTGGATCTTTGGGGGGTCTTTTTTAATGTTTCCCCTTTCATACCTGATTTTATTGATACGGATTTGTTCTTTATTTTGGTTTACAGGGCTAATGGTCTGTCTTCTTGTTTAGCTCTTCAAAGAACCAGCTCTTCGATTCATTGATTCTTTATATTGTTTTCTTTGTTTCTATTTCATTAATTTCTGCTCTGATTTTTGTTATTTCTTCTTGTCTGCTGGGCTTGAGCATCATGTGTTCTTGCCTTTCTAGAGTCTTGAGATGCAATATTAAGTAATTGGCTTGAATTCTTTCTGATTTTTTATGTAGGCACTTAGAACTATAAACTTTCTTCTTAGGACTGCTTTTAAAGCGTCCCAGAGATTTTGTTGTGTTGCATTGTCC